CCCCAGGCCCTCGGCTGGGGCCGCCTGGGCGCCCGCTCGTGTCTGCGGAGTCGCCTGGAGCTGTGCCGCCGGCTGGAACGCGAGGCGGCCAAGCTTGCCCACCAAGGCTGAGGAGAGCTCCCGGGCAATCCAGACGTCTTGGCCGCCGGCGTAGGGGCACTGGCTGGCACCCCAGAAAGAGGCTTCTACGCTGGAATTCTTGGGGGTGCCTCCCGAGGACTACTGCCCGAAAGTCGAGTTCGCTGCCTTCCAGCCCAGGAGCACAGCGCCCGACTCACTCCTGGCCCGTGCGCACCTGTGTCCAGCCTCCTCCGCACGCTTCCCGGCCTCTCAGAACCCCCAGCGAGAGAGTCTCTCTTTACTGGGGGCTCCTCTGACTCCAGTCCTGATGGGGGAAGGAGATCTTCCCACTTCCTCTCTCCAAAATTCCAGAGAGTAGTCTGCACACGCTCCTCTGCAGGCTGGAGGGGTTGGGGCAGGGTTGGGGCAGGGTTAGGGGAGGGAGGAGCTATGGCAGCTCCGAAGGGGGTTGATTCCAGAGAATGGGAGACAACTCCCTTAGGGGCCAGGGATCCCCCATTCCCAAACCCAGGCCTTGCCCAGATGGAGAGGGAGGGAGAACAGGACCAAGGGAAAAAGGCTTTGGGTGGCCAGGGCAAAGATGGGACAGTGGACGCCATGATGGAGAAAGATGAATAAAGGCAAACATGATGGATAAACTAAGAAACACAATGCGTTTCTCTGGTGTGCCCAGGATCCTCAACTGGGGGGGAGGGCAGCAACACCCTGCCCGGGGGTTATTATCCATCCATTTGTGGCCTATATCCTTCATGTCCACACCCACACCACCGTCCATCTCGCAGTGCCACTGGAAAGACAAAGGAGGACCTGGAAATCTTGATCCTCACTGTGATTCTTTCATGAGAAGAGAGGAAAAAACAGTTCAGAAAAGTGTTGTGTGTCCATCAGCACACAGCCAGCCCATGGCAAAAGCACAAATGGGACCCCTGTTTGCCTGGCTCCGGATCCTAGGTTCCTTCTCCCACCACTACCACACTTGAGCATAGTTGGGAAGTGGTGAAACGCCCACTTTCTGGTGCCCCTTGTCTCTGCCATTAGAGCTGCTGACCCACAAAGGGTCACCGAGGCCCAGCGAGACTGTGTGAAGGGACCCCGAGTGCCCAGTAAGAGGGGATCCAGTGGGCACCAAGATCTCAGAATCATGTGGGAAGCAAAAATGCCCCAGGATTGCCCAGGCCCCGGAATGCACTCAGCCCTCCTCTTTAGGGACTCTTGGTGTGAGTAAGAGCTTCCTTACTCAGCCAAGAGGCCAGTCCGCTACGCCCTTTCCAGGGGCCCTCCCAGCTAGTTGTCAACCAAGGAGAGGGAGGAGGAAAGAAGGGGAAGGAGATGAGGCCACTGCTCCAGTCTAAGGCTGCTGGCTCCCAGGCCTGGCGTTGGTGGGAGGGACAGGGTGGGGCGGGAACAGTCAGCTAGCTGTCTGCCAGGAGCCAAAAACGAAAGCACTTCCGCTGGGACTGAGACTGGAGTCGGGACTCCCAGGAGTATGCCAGCTAGCCAACTCTGGGTCCCTGGAAGCTGGGGAAAGATTCTGGCCCTTCCTGCCCAACCGCTGGGGACTGAGTGGGAGCAGAGGTGAGGTGTCTGCCCCCCCTTTGGGGGGGGCAGGACAGGGCCTGGAGCCTGGGTGCCGCCTGGCACCTGGAAGATGCCTGTGCCCTGGTTCCTGCTGTCTTTGGCACTGGGCCCAAGCCCCGTGGTCCTCTCTCTAGAGAGGCTTGTGGGACCTCAGGACTCTGCTCACTGCTCTCCGGTGAGTCTGGGGCCCTGGGAAGGTTGGGGAAGGCTCAGCGTTCAGTCTGAGGCCCGTCAAGGCCCTAGCCTGGCTCCTGTCACTGCCGCTGCCACCAGAACTGCCCTAGCTGGTCTAGCTGGTACTGATGGAGTAAGAGGAGAGTGGGGAGGGAGCAAGAGCTGGGTCTGTCTTCTGGGAGGGGCTTGGAATAGGGAGCCCCAGAAAGAGGTAGCAGGGCTTTCAGGCAGGGAAAGAGGGTTCGATTTAGGACCATAAACCCTGACTCTCCTTTACCTCCTTCCCAGGGCCTCTCCTGCCACCTGTGGGGTGAGTAGCCCTACTTTTAGAAAGAAAAGGACTTCCTAGGTTGGTGGAAGGGAGGGGAGCTGTCCCAGTCCCATGCCCTCGTGGCCCGCCCTCAGCCCCAGAAGAGCCCAAGCTCCTTGGCCCTCTGGGGGTGTCAAGTGCAACCAAACTCTGAGTTCAGAACAGTTGCAGCTCCCACTCTGCCCTTCATGCACAGGTGGTGACGTGCTCTGCCTGCCTGGGAGCATCCAGCCTGCCCGAGGACCCGTGCTGGTGCCCACACGCCTACAGACAGAGCTGGTACTAAGGTGCCATCAGGAGACTGACTGTGACCTCTGTGTGCGTGTGGTGGTCCACTTGGCTGTGCATGGTAAGCATGTCATCCATGTGCACACGTGAAAGTATCTGGGATTGGCATGAGGATTAGGCAGACTGTCAGTCAGCACTGGATATCCTCTGTGTTCTCTTGGAGGACACTGACCAAAGGACCCCAGGCCAGTCTGGTCTCCCTATCCACCCCCCCACCCCCACCTTGTGCCTCAGGGCCGTCCCCTGCTTCCCCACATGCGCTTTCTGGAAGAAAACCAAACCCAAAGCCAGTCTAGAGTGGGAGGCCTGACCTGGGCCTTGTTCTTGGGTCGTTCCAGGACACTGGGAAGAGCGTAAAGATGAGGAACAATTTGGAAGAGCAGCTGACCCAGAGCTTGGAGGGCCTAAGAATGGTGAGGAGAGCCCTGCTTGCCTAACTGCCCCTTGCCAGGGCCTTGGCTATGGCCCCTGGGCCTGACCAACCCCACCCTGTTGCTCACAGCCTCTCTCCAGGCCCAAGTCGTGCTCTCCTTCCAGGCCTACCCAATCGCTCGCTGTGTCCTGCTGGAGGTGCAAGTGCCTGCTGCCCTGGTGCAGCCTGGTCAGTCTGTGGTATGTGAAATAATAATAAACACCTTTTGAATAGAAATTTTATAAAGTGCTTCCATATGCATTATCTCTTTAAGTCCTGACTCTGATCAGGGCTGTGGGCAAATCCTTTCAGCCCTTTATGCCCCAGTTTCCCTGTCTGCAAAGTGGGGATAAGAATAGTCCTACTTCATATGGATGCTGTGAGATTTAAATGAGGTACAATGCCATGAAGTAGGCATTATTATTACCCTCATTTTCCAGAGAGAGAAAGTGAGAATTGAAGAGGGAAAGCCTGTGGGCTGGCTTCACTCCTCTGGACTTCCTGCCATACCATGTCTGCCCCATGTATACACGGTGGTGCAGGGTGTTGGGGCTACTCCAGGAGGTGCCTCCTCACTTGGGACAAATCACTCAAACCCTTTGACTTTCCCTCCAGCCCCCAGCCAATATCCTCTGGTCTGGAAAATTGTTGAGTGGGAGAACATCTGCTGGTCCACCTCACAGGGCAATCGTGAGGACCACTGAGCACTGGGCATGAGAACCACTTCTGTGGGGAGGGGTGTCTGATCACCTTAGCTTTGCCCATGTGGTCCAGAACAGCTGAAGGTGGGGCAGGGACTCTAGTAGCTAGACCCTTCTCCTTGCCCTGCTGACACCCCTATTGAGGGTGTGTGCTTTAGAATTGGGAGCTCTTGAAGGAAACTTCAGTGGCAGAATTTCAGGCCCTACAGTATGAGTATGGTTCATTGGTTGGGGAAAAGGGGAGGGAGTGGTTCACACAGAGGATCCCATAGCTCTTGGCGTGGATTCTGAGCCCTATACCACGAGCCTTCTGCCACCCTTCTCCTCACAGGGCTCTGTAGTATTTGACTGCTTCGACGCTGCTGTAGGAGCTGAGGTGAGAATCTGGTCCTACACTCAGCCCAGGTACCAGAAAGAACTCAATTTCACACAGCAGCTGCCTGGTAAGTGGCTCCGGAGCCCCAGGGGCCCCAAATCCTAGCCTCCCTAGTCTCTCCCCCTTTTGGCCACTCCCCTCTGCTTTCCTCCCCTTTCTAGTCCTATTGACTCTCAGGCAACAGTGTGAGCTCCCTCCTCCCAGAGTCAGTTCCTCATGCCTCCTCTCCCCAAGAACATGGCTTTCCCATCCCTGGGGAAGGTGCTTTGGGCACTGGATAGATGTGGGTGGTATTTAGGGCACAGGGAGCCCCTCCAAGAGCTCCCCATGAGTCAGGTTGCCCCCCTCCCCCCTGTTCTTTCCTTGGTCCCCAGCCCTACCGGAGGCTTTTCTGTGATCTCTCCCCAGACTGCAGGGGGCTCGAAGTCCAGGACAGCATCCAGAGCTGCTGGGGTAGGGGCTAGGGCCAGCGGGGCTGGGAGGAGGGAGGGCCAGGGTCTGCAGCGTGAGAAACCCTTGGAGTTGGCTTCAGATCTGGGCTGCCACATCCCAGAAACTTGCTGAGTTCATGAATATTCATTCATTCATTCATTCATTCATTCATTCATTCATTCATCACACATGAACTGCAATAGCTCCTACTTTGTGCCAGGCGCTGGGAACATAAAGGTGGATCTCTCACTCCCTGTAACAAATATTTATTAATAGCAGGGACATCTAGAGGCCCAAAGCATTGTCAAGATTATGGTGCACCCCCCCCCATATATCAAATAAAAATAATATTAAACTATAAAATAAAGGCTAAGAAAGTCAAGGTTCTGATGGTTTTTCCCATGCACTCTTTAGATATTTTTGTTTTGTATTTTCTTTTTAACTGTAGTATAACATACATACAGAAAAATGTGCAAAGTGTTCTAATTTTAATGTCCAGTTCCATTCATTCTTATATATGTATACACTTGCATAACTACCACCCAGATCAAGACATACATACTGTAAGTTTTTTAACTCTTAAATTATTTCAACTTCATTTTCTTTTTGGTTCCTTTAACCTTAAGCTTGGCCTGCCTGCTTCTGGTAATCCATTAAAGACTGCTCAGCACCAGAGCTTTGCATTTACACACACACCTACACATCATACATTTCATGCCATCATTCATCCAGTTACACACTGATTCGCTTACTCTACAGATATCTATTGGGTGTTTACTCTGCCCAAGGCATAGCACTAGGC